GTAGAACACATTGGCAGGGTTCGGATTCGTGGCAAAAACTGATGCATTGCCCACGTTCAGCATGGCCCTATTCTCTAGCTAGTTGCAACAGTTGTTTTTTTTTCCTTCGTAGGCCCCCCAAACACCCGAGGGCACATCCCTAAGTCGAAGCCAGTTCCACTCATTTGACCTCGGCAGCTTCCAGGGGCAGCATAAAATCCTCGCATTACTGCTGGTATTGTGCAAACTTTGTGTGGCAATATCCTGGTGGTGACTCCCATTGTTTCCAGTCATCCTTCTTTTCAGGGGGCAAACAGCAAACCTGGAAACAGTAAGTACTTGAGTAGAAAAATGCTTAAAGCAAATGGGACATCAATCCTTAAACATATGGTCTTAAGCTTCCACTGGGGACCCCTTGAAGCAAGGAGAAACACACAGAAATAGCAAGGCATCCAAATTTTAAATGGTTCCAACTAACTGCAGCAGGCCTCGTCTCAAAGGAAATGAACCCCTCGCAATGCTTGGAGTCCTGTCGGTTCCTCATCTTTCACTTGGCAGGCCCCAGGAAAAAACAATATTTCCGGTAGTGATGAAGTACTTCTAAAATTAACAAGGGACAATAACAAATAATTAAATATTCTTAAGCAAATGGAGATCAACATGTGCAACCCAGTTGTCCAAAGGCCCAGGAAAAAAAGCCAACCTTTTAGGGCCATGATTATTTTCTGATTGCTGGGCTGTCCTCAGATCCCCCGCTGAAAGTTTAACTGTTGGTGGTTTAATGGAAAACTCACTAGTTGGCAAAAAGTTAAAGTCCTAACATCCAAGCAAAATGCACCAAAGCTTTCTTAAACAAGGATTGCAATGGGAAAACCAACGGGTCAAAAGTCGGCTTTAGGCAACTGAGGCAATAGCCTTTGTGGAGAAAGGGAAGTTGGAGGGTCCAGTGAGTCCAGTGGTGCTTGCAGGAAATAAAGAGTTCCCAGTGTCCTTACTAAATTGCTTACATCCCCCAGAGGATATGTTGACCAAATCTCATTAATCATTTGAGTCATAATCCAAACCTGGTACTAAATTTGTCTGTCCAGAACAATGCAAGGAATTAAAACGGCGGCTGCACCCATTTATGGCTTGTTAACGCGAGCTTTAATTGTGTCTCATTTGCAGACCCTGGTGTCACCAGCATGGTCTGCAAACACGTAAATCGCCTATCCCCTTTGGGCTTCCTTTGGTGAGGCAAGTCTGGCCCTCGTGGCATGCAAAGATAAAACAACCAGCAACTCGCTTTAGTGGCTTGGCCAGAAAAAAGTAGCCAAACTTGCTGTTTGCCACTCGAATTTGCCCAAACCCCAAGAAGTATAAAGTCCAGGAACTCAGGAAGTGAGGCAATCATCCTGGCAAACCGGCTCTTGTTTGGAAAAAATGGCAGTTTCAAAGTAATAGAACAGGAATCAACCTGTAAAACTTGTTGCCTCATTGGGGGATGTACTTCTTTGGGAATCGGAGCCCCAAAATTGTGGTTTCCTTTTGGTCCTTAAACCCGCCCAAAAAAAAGCCTCACTGGCTGAGTGGATGGCCCAAAAAAGTCCGAACTATATATGTACCACTAAAATGGTCTTCCCAAAAAAATAAAGATCATAAAAACTCAGACAGTAAGAAAACACCGGTATCTCCAAAAAGCCAAACCCACAGGGACATCCATCCGGATGTCCGCTAGATGGAGCCTCCCCGTCTTTCTGCCAGGCCGCGGCAGTTCGGTCCACATCTCCCTGCGGGCCACATGGGCGGACGTGCGTTGCTCTAACGGAAACCCAAATATTCAACCTAAAATGATGGTTGACTCAATTTAGATGATGACAATCACTGGTAAACAATTGTGGTCCTATGAACCCCACTGTTTCAATTGTGGTTTGAATCGGGTAGGAAACCCTGGTTGCCTGCTTGCAACTGGAACTGAGTTTGCCGCCAAATGGGCCTCCCAGCGAAAATTGTTCATCAAGTCCATCAACTTGGGAACTCACTCAGTTGCCGCCTATGGACCCAGAAATACAAGGTGATCACCTTTTGGGACCTCTAAAAATGGGATTCGCCAAACCATGGGAAACCAAAAGGTCAGATCCGGTCGATTCGCTTTGGGCCTTGGTGAGGGAAGTCAGATCCAGTCATTCTCCAAACTCTCCGAAGCGAAGCCCGGCCAAAAAGCCCTCTAGCCTTGCTTGGTTGACGTTGGAAGGGGAGCAACAATTCTCAAAATTTAGCAGTTAAGTGGATTTGGATTTCAACCACTCAACCACAAGAAGATCAAAAATGGGAAAAATGTTTCCCAACAACAACCATGTGATGGGGGAGGGGGGTTGACAAGTTTCTGCGTTTTGAAGGTGATGGCTCGAAAAGGGGTTACCCTTTGCTGGCTGATTCAGCCAAACACCCCCGAAAAACCCTAACACGGAACGGGCTCATAAAACTCATGAACGGCGTCACCAAGACGGCAAGGTCTATATTCAGATCAGCCCTTTCCTAGGTCCTCCAGTAGAGAGGTCAGAATAAGGGTATTTTGTTATTTCTTCGGTACTCTATTTAAGCAGGGGAGCCCTCCCAACCTTTAAATTGTCAGGGAGTGAGAAGACCCAGCAATAAACGGTTTGGGGCCGCGACCAAAAAATGGACCAACCAGGGGACATGAAAAGGTCAAAACGGTTGGCTTTGGGCAAGGAAGCGCCTTACCAGCCAGCTTAAGGCGAGAAAGACATCCAACCAACTCCCGGCCTGACATTCTCCAGCACCATGTTGGAGTGACGATCAAAGGCTTTCACGCGGGCCAGGATCTTCCGATTGTTTCGGCAATTAATCAGCACCTGCGCAGGTGCTCAACCAACTGATGGTAGGGTTCCAAACCATGGTTGTAGCTGGGGCAACTAGGGTAGGCTTCCTGTTTGGTTAAGGCCCCAGGAAAAATATAAATATTTCCAGTAGTGATGAATTCCTTTCAAAAACCAACAAGGGAAAATAACAAATATTCTTAAGCAAATGGAGGTTAGCGCCCCTGGAACTCTGGGTTGTAACCTACTAAGTTGGTTGAAGATGTAAGTGCAAGCCTCTGCCGCGCCTCGTCTAACCCCGCTCGATGCGTCGTTCTGAGGGCTATGAGTTTGTTCGGGACCCCCCTTTGTTTTTCAATTTCCAAAGTGGCGGTACTAAAAATGGTCTGCCCATAAACATGTGAAAAATCAACAATAGGCGGCTGCACCCATTTATGGCTGGGATTGTCCCTTACTAACCTTCATCTACCCGGGTTTCGATTGTGGCTCACTCACCTTTCTCAAACCCCCAAACCAAAATGCCACCCAAAAGACACCACCCAACACATCGGGTTCCTTGGGAAAGACCAAGCATCACGAAAACAAAAAATCACTTCAAAGGGAAGCTAACAAGTAGCCTCCTAATTTGGGAAGGGGGAATTCACTTAAAACCAGCCAAACAGGGGTTCCTTAAAAAAATGCCAATGACACAAAAAAACCGGATACCCAGTTCAATTCACTTGCCCCATATCTTGTTTCTACTGTGGATGGACGAAATCCTGCACCACTTAGAAACTGTGAGACAGCATTGTTTGTCCGTATTTACAGGGGAATCATCATTCCAGGGTGTCTTAGGTGGTGCGAAATGGATTTCGTCCATCCACAGTATGTCCAATTCCCTCCGTTTCACATGAATCCCAGTGATGGGGCCTGGGAGTTGTCCTTCACACACTTCTGCAGCACAGACCTTGGCAGCGCTCCCCAAGATTCTTCCGGAACTTCTCGTCCGCCTTACTTCCATTTGGTTAAGGCCCCTGGAAAAAATGGAAATAAGTCCAGTAGGGATACATTCCTTTCAAAACCAGCACGGGCAAATAAACAAAAACAACATGTTAAGCAAATGGAAGCTTACAGTCAACATGGAAGCCAGAAGGGGCTTGATAACTTTTTGGAGTCTCCATGACCGTTTGAAAATGAGGTCAAGGGTTGCTTTAATTTGGGTAATGACCCCATTTGTTTGAGGGTCATGGAGACTCCAGGTTTCTTCAACTGCTTGATGTTGATCTGCAAGGCGAGATCACAGGACACCAACCTTTAAACATTCCTTCATCTTCAGCACCTTGGTTTAACCCCCTTCAGATCAACAAGAAATCCAAACAGCTCCTGGGGGCACCAATTAAATTTGCATGGCTATGGAAAGTCGCCCTTTCGCTGATTCCAAAGTTGGCCACTCTCAAACCATCCCCCCACATGGCCATGATCCTGCACTTCCCCGAGCCCTGTTGAGGCATCCATTCTAGGTCCTCCAGCAGAGAGCTTGGGGTAAGGCTACCGTTGCTTTTTCCGGCTTTGTCTATTTTGGTAGGGTCCCGAACCCTCCCAACCAAAAAAGAAACGAAAGGGCACCTACAAAAAAACAGTCATCGAAAAAGAAGAATGTGATTCATTCTTGGATGCCTGTTGACCATTATATTCAAGCAATGGAAACATGCAACCTCTACATCTACTATATATGCTAGATTCTGCTCGCATTTGTTCTGAGATGAATCTTACCATGGAGCTTACCACTCAGACAGCGGGGCAGGTCTAGGCGGAAAGTCGCGCAGGGGGAGCCGGGCCGCACCAGGCGTTTCTTTCCGCGGGCGCGCGTGAAGCTGAACATCGGCCGAACGGATCTCGGCGGCGAAGGTCAACCGGTTGGAAGAACGTGGTGGGGTTCCTTTGGGTTCTTAAAAACAAACCAAAAAAAGTGCCCCCAAACAAAACACATCCATATATGGCTGTGCCTCAAAAAGCCGGTGCACAACATGGCCTGGTAAATGGAGCCAAGGACCAAAACCTGCGGTAACCCTGGCTCTTAAATTTTGAGCCACACCCATACTGTGGATAAACGAAATCCATTTCGCACCACCTAAGAAACCCTGGAATGATGATTCCCCTGTAAATACCAACAAACAATGGCTTCAACCATGGTGTCAAAGTGGTGCGAAATGGATTTCGTCCATCCACAGTATGGCTCCATGGGGGGATTCCATCTGGGCCGACCTGGGCCGGCCTCAGAGGCCGTCAAACAACCCGCCCAACTCCGCCGCCTCCTCCGCCTCCTCGTCCTCGGGGTTGGGGCGTTTCCATGCGCCCAAGGCGGCCCTCACCAAATTCCGAGGTGTTCCTTGGGGTTTCCCTTTGAAACCATCCTGAAAGGGCTCATTTCAAGACACCCATGCTCAAACCATGCTTCTTTCAAGGACCTCCTTCTTGGCCCCCCTTGAACCGCCACACTTGGTCGACGTTGGAGCGGGAGCAAAAATTCTCAAATTGAAGCAGTTCAGTGGATTTGGATTTCAACCACTCAACCACAAGAAGATCAACAATGTAAAAAATGTTTCCCAACAACACCCATGTCTTATGTTACTAAAGGGGTCCAAACCCCAGGGACCCAAAACGTGGTACCCTCAAAAGACACCATGCACAGGTTTCATCGAACTTTTCTCCCCCCCAAACCAAATGGCCTCGTCCTTTCGCGAGGAAGCCGGTGGGCTGAACGGGAGACACTCCTTGCCCAAAGGACCCGGCATCGGCGACGCAAAAGCTGGCCAACCCTTGCTATGGTAAACCAAAAAGCTTAACAGGACCAAAAACACTTTTGTTTTGCAAAATAAAATGCCAGAAACTGAACAGGACCAAACAATGAGCAGAGCCCAAACAAGTTTTTTTTTTTTTTTTTAGAAAGGACAAACACAGAAACAGCAACAGAAGCTTGCTGGACCCACTGCCTTTCGGCACCTGACGAAAAGTGAAACAACATGTTTGTGCCGTGGTTAAAACTCCCTTTTGTTTTTTTAAACCTATGGTCACGGTCTTGAATAGGAATCATCAGAATCCGGATCCTTACGAGGGGCGGGGCCGGGATTTGGGAAACCGAGCTTCGATGTTGGCATTGCCCTGCTATCTAGGCTGGAATTAGGACCCCAGCAAAGAAATTATCTTTTTGCTGGGTAGTGGAAAACAAAATCAACCCCAAAAAGCCCCCCCAAAAAAAGGGGATCTAATTCTGGGGAAGCTAAGCAGGAGCTTCGGAACCTTGAGGAAACTGGGTGGTTCCGTTGGAAACCAGTCAATGGATAAGCTCTTGCTGGGCCAAAAGACCACAGGTCAACAGGTCCCCCCATTGCAAGTCCAGCCTGTTTCACGTTCATAGTATTTTTTTGAAAACTTGGCTTTTCCAGGTTATAAATACCCTTCTTTGTAGTAAGGTCGTCATCATACCCTAAAAAAGGCGGTGATTTGGAGTAGGGGGGCGGTTTTGAACAACTGGAGAAACTATACTAGGCTGGAATTAGGACCCCAGCAAAAAATATCTGTTTGCCTGGTTAGTGGCAAACAAAGGCGACCCCAAAAAAGCAAAAAAGTAAAAGGGGGAACTAATTCTGGGGAAGTATAAAGGGACGGTTCGGTTTGATGTGATTCCCTCTTGCCTGTCGAACCAGCCGGAAAATGTCGTGAAATAAAACCAGAAACCAGACACTTTGCAAGGATTCGGATCTAAATCAGGGATAGACTTAATGACTTTGGGTACTCCAAACATATGTGTTGTGTAATAACTGGTTGTCTGGGTGTCTTGTATTGAAGGTACCCCCAATCTCCGTGGTTGTAAATTGAAGGGGACCAAAAGGAAAATTGCTGCGCCCTGTGAGGGGGGTCCATTCCTAAACAAAATACACACCCACCCATATGTTACGTTTCATTTTTAGCCTACCCTTAAAAAAAAATGAAGAAACATTTTTGGGTCAGAGACCCCAACTCATAGGTGACCTTTTGGACAAATAGATGGGTTTCCCTGGCAAATGGAATCAAACCAATCTAAACAAGTGGAACCCGTCTTTTAAAAAGGACGGCTTCCATTTGCTTAAGCCCCCTGCAAAAAAATCCAGCAGTCATGGTTCCCCGCTAAAACAACAACAGGAAAATCACAAATATTCATTGCAGCAAATGGAAGCCACCTATGTCATCAGGTGATGGTTTGTGTGCATCTACTTCTAGCCAAAATAACCTAAAAAGCTTTCAAAGCACTGGAAACCATCTATCTAAAAAGGAACACCTATGTATGCTTTGGACGTCCCTCCACTTATTTAGGGGGGAAATTGGTTACCATAAATGGAGATCTCCAGGGGTCGATTTCCCCCCTCCCCCAATCAACCATTTTGAAGCGACCCGACGATCTTGGGACCCGCCGAGCGCGCTACTTCTAACCAAGCTAACATAAAACGATCTAAGCCAGTGGAACCCATCTACCTAAAAAGGACAAACCCATGCCCAGGTGACGTGTTTCACTGTTTCGTATGCTTGGGACCCGTTCTATGCGCGCCGAGCCGCCCGGAAGATCTCCAGCACAGAGCCGGCGATGCGAAGCTTCACCGCCGCCATCTCCTCGAAGTGCAGCGCGATGGCGGCCTCCAGCTCCTGCCAGTGGCGTCAAAATTTGGCCTCCAAGTTGGGGGTCGAGTTTTTCGGGTTTTTGTCCCCCCCCAAAAAAAAACAAACAAACAAACAACAACACGAAAAGCAGGTTCCCTCTGGGTTTCCCTTTAACCAAGAAAAAAACACGAAAAGCGGGGCTTCCTCTGGGTTTCCCAATTTAAAACCAAACAAAATTGCGGCTCCCTCAAAAGGCAGACCCATTGATTACCGCAAGCTAGACTGAAACCAAGGGGCGTTTCTTTGGAGGGGGGACATTTTTCCAGCCTCCAATTGGTGATCTGGGATGATTTGGGTTGGCTAGGGGTTGGAGGGCTGGTTTCCCGTTTGCCCACCAGAGCCAGAGGCTCCAAATCCAACGAAGGGTCGGATCTACCTCTCCGAGGCTTCCTAAAAAAACCTCCGGGAAGTTGCTTCGGGAACCCCAAGGAACCCCTAGGGACTCCATCTCTACTCTTGGTATGGGCTTGCAAAAAACCGACTGGTTTTTTGCAGACCCCCAGTAAAAATGAACAGAACCAAAAGACTAAAAAACAAAAAAAACAAAAACATGATCCAAGAACAGTGAAGACTCAGTTGCTCAGTTTGGACCCAGAACTAAAAGGTGATCACCTTTTGGCACTACTAAAAATGGGTGCCAACATGGGAAAACCAAAAGGTCAAAAGGTCGATTCGCTTTGGACAACTGAGTTGTACCTAGCTCCGTGTAGGGAGTCCATGGAAAGAACTTCAAGGGCCGCACCAATAGATGGTTGAAGCTGTACTACTCCTAGGTCCTCCAGTAGAGAGGTTAGAACAAGGGTACCCCTTTTTCTGTGGTCTATTTTAGTTGTGGAACCCTCCCAAAAACAAGGGTAAAAAGGGCGCCTAGCTGGGGGACCCAGACTCTCCTCTGGGGCACCTCCCAACACAGCACCTTAGGAAATTGCCACAGGCCAACAAGGAAAGCGTAATGAACTGTGTCGCTCCCCAAGTTCCTAACTGATCTCAGCGAACCCAATTGTCCATTCGCTTCCTGAGTGGAGTGACAAAACTTGGTTGACGTTGGGTTTGGGGAGCAAAAAATCTGAAATTTTAGCAGTTGAGTGGGGATTTCCCACCAAATCACAATAAGCAGAAATGTAAAATGCTTCCCAACAACCATGAAGAAAACGTCCAGAATCTTTTTGGTTTACTTGTCTGAGTTTGTGTGGGGGGGGTGGGGGCGAGGGTGGAGCCCAGAAAATCCCAGAAACATCCAGAAACTGCGCGGGCCCGAAGCCCAGAAACATCTAAAAACTGTGGGGGGGGGGGGGGCGGCTGTTGACATCAGTCTTTTTTTTGCCCGTCCTCACAGGGATCGAAGGTGTCCCGCAGCGACTGCACCATGATGTCGCTGTACCAGACCTCCCGACAAGCCACGGGACACCCCGTTTGCCCGAGCCCCCAACCGGTCCTTGGAGCCCGGCCCAAAGGCAAAACGGAAGTCAGAAAGCAGGTCTTGAATTCATCTCTACTCTTGGTATGGTAGCAAAAAACTTTGTTTTTTGCAGACCCCCAGTAAAAATGAACAGAACCAAAAAACTAAAAAAACAAAAGCATGCCAAGAACAGTGAAGAATGGGAAAAAAGGGAAGGCCCCCTAAGGCCATGTACAAATGAAAAAGCGCTTCATCCTCGTGGGCTCGACTAGTTGGAAATGAAGTAGGGTTCGCTATGGACAAATCAAAGCACGAAACAACCAAGCCAGCTTCCGAAAGAAACCGCAAGATACCCATAAACATCCTCAACCTCGTGCGGTGTCTTTTGGACAAACATGATATGCGCTATTCAGCGCCCGGATGTCGAACTAACTTCTCACCTCTTGCCTTGGCTTCAAAGGGAAAGTGTACGAACCCGAAGCCTCAATTGCCCAAAGGACTTGGACTTGGACATGTACCCCAAACATCGCCCAAATCAAACTCACCTGCAATTTATTGGCCCCCAAAAGTGATGTTTAAACTCTGTCCTCCATCGCCCCTGAGTCTACCATTTTCATAAGTGCCCCCTCTTCAGCCGAGCGAATCGGACAACCCCCAGCAAACAAACAAGCCAACGAAAAGCCCAAGAGAGAAACCAAAGAAAACCAAACCATAAGGACAAATCATCAACCAGCGTGTCGCTTTTGGGTGTGTTGCCCGGGCCACAGTGCTTGCATGGTAGGCTTGCTCAGAGTTCCGTATGGTGCCTGGAAACGCTGGGCTTGGGCTTTGGTTCAGGTCCCTGTTGCCCAAAGGAGCTGGACATAAAGGTTCTGGAACCTGGACTAAAAGTGGACCAACTTGGGGAAACCAAAACTAGGTCCTCCAGATTTGAGAGGTTAGAATAAGTTGGTACCATGTCTTTCATTTTTCTGTAGTCTGTTTTAGTAGGGGAAACCTCCCCGAAACAAGGGTAAAAGGGTACTACTGGGGGACCTAGAAAAGGTTAGTCGGACTTGCGACTTGTTTTTCAGGGGACTGCTTGAGCAGTCCCTTTGGTACGGGGGAATTTGAAACGCCAACTTTGATGGTCCGCTCCATACCATCGCCTAAAACCAAAAGTTTCACTTCTATTTGGTTAAGGCCCCAGGAAAAATGATATAATATGTCCAGTAGTGATGAATTCCTTTTAAAACCAACAAGGAAATGTTCTTAAGCAAATGGAGGTTAAAATGTAGATCCGCTTTGGCAATTTGGACGAAGTGAGTGACTCACCTCTCTCGCGCGATCGCGCGAGCGAGCGAGCGAGTGAATGCCTTGCAAAAGGCCCGCAGCTCCGCCGGCTGCTGCCGCAGGATCCGCAGGATCCTGCACGGGTTGCATTGCGGCCTCGAACCCCGAACGCAGTTCACCTGGGCCCAAGGCCCAGCCAGGGCCCCCACCGAAACATCCGGCTTGAGGAGCAAACAGTTGAACATGTAAGGCTTTCTGGCAATGTCCTGGCCCCTCCACCAGTCATTGGTTGAAGAAGCTGCGGGTATGGCCGGGGTAGCGGCTAGAAGCCGACTTACAGGCTCGGAGACACCCTGATAAGGCATAACATCTGGGCAATTTGCCATAGAATTCCCAAACCGGAAACAGGAATGCCCGGTAAAAAACGGTCCCTGATCCTCAAGCTACCCAGGAACCAATTGTGGCTCCCTATGCTGCCCCTTCAAACATCATCCCACCAAAAGCAAGCTCCTCTTGAACTGGCAACCAAGAAGTGATGTCCAAGACCACCAAAATTAGCAACCAAAAAACCGGAAATAAATGGAATGGAAAAAAATCCAAAACCTGCCCCATGCCCCCCCCCCCCTCATATTCCATTTTCGAGGGGTGGGGATAGATCACCAAACGGGGAAACACATGGCTCAAACGGGAGGGGACGAACTTCGCACGATCCTCAGGGCGCGCGGGTCGTAGCTCTCGTCCGTGAGCGGCTGTGGGAAGGGCAGAGTCGCCTCGCCCTGAAGGAATGGCGGTCTCGCGGCCCACTGGCCCAAAAGAGCTGAATATCTTGGTTGACGTTGGAAGGGGAGCAAAAAAATATTTTTTAGCAGCTAAGTGGTTGGATTTCAACCACTAAACCCAAAAAAACAAAAAATTGGAAACATGTTTCCCAACAACAACCATGATATGTGGCTGTGGGTCCAAACCCCGGCCCAAAAAGCCGTCTAAAAACCTAACAGCCCGGAGTCTCCATGACCCTTAACAAATGGTTGGTGGTGCCCCCTTTATATTGGGTAATGATCCCATTTTGGTATAATATGGCTATGGGTCCAAACCCCCGGTGCAGTGGAGTGGTAACCATCCACAAACATGGAAAGCCCGGAGCCTCCATGACCCTTAACAAATGTTTGGTGGTGCCCCCTTTTTGTTTTTTTTTGGTCATGATCCAATTCTTTAAGGGTCATGGAGACTCCAGGTACATGGAACCCGGACCATACATATTTCTTGCTGGGTTGTAGCAAATATCTGAAAGGTGATGTTTAAAGTTTAAAGTCAGCAAAAGTGGAACATATCTGGAGCCGCGGCATACAAATGTCTTGCGGGGAAGTCAGCAAAAAATGGAAATACTGTAGATGGACGACATCCTGCACCACCTAAAAAGCCCTGCAATGTTGATTCCCCTGTAAATGCATACGAACAATGGTGTCTCATGTTGATAGGTGGTGCAGGATTTCGTCCATCCACAATAGGGCCCTGACATACAGAAATCGTCTTGCTGGCCTACTGCAACTGGGTGGGGATATCTTCCTGGCTGGGACAACCAAAGACACCTTGTCACAAGGCCACTTAGGTCCTTTGACTACTGTCCATGAACCCAGGGAGTGAGTTCCGGATTCTGAATCCCAAAACCCCCGGCGGATTGCCATGAGAAAACGCTTCGGCACTTGCTTTAGTAAGGAACTGCCAATAACTGCCACCACTGGAGATCCAAAGGTTGAGGACCTTCACTCCCTTCTGCTGTTGCGTCCCCTGGACAAGCGAGAAACTATGTCCAATAGTGAAATCGAGTCCCTGTAAAACCAGCAAGGGAAAATGAACATATTCATTTCAGCAAACTCAGCAAATGGAGGTTCATTCTTGACCCGGGAGGATTAGAGTCTTGAGTGGCGCCTCAAACCAGAAGTTGATGCACACCCGCGGCTGCGCGCCAGAAAAGGGCCGCACGCGGTGCAGCGAGGTGCAGGAGGAGAAAGCGACCAGTCGCCCATGCAGTGGCGCCAAGGGCAAAGCCGCGAAGGGCAACGGTAGGACCTCCACCTGGCGAGGAATTCCTCTGCACAATTCCTGTTCCTCTGAAAGGCAAGCAAAGGGAGGGTCTCTGTGTGTGTGTGTGTCAAAATTGGGGATACAAAGGGCACCTGCAACGTTCTCAAACATGATCAACGTTCTCAACCTTATGAGCCTTATCAACCTTGTCATAACCTTGTTGGAAGGGCAACCCATCAAACCTCAGGCCAACCAGTGAGGGACCCCTCCTTGCGGCTTCTAAAGTCTCAGCCCCGCCTCGCCGCCATCGCCTTCCTGCCAGGCCGGGTTGAGGTACAGCCTAAGGAGCGAGAGGCGTTTCCCAAGCTAAGGTGAAGGGCTGCGCCTGGGCGAATTACCAAACCAACCAAACCAGCCAGTTTTTTTTCTTTCGTTCGGTCTGGGGTTCCTATCACCACCATGAAAACATTGGTTGGGTTCCTACCACCACCATGGTTTACCTAAGGATCCACCATTCTTTTAGTGGGGGTTGAACCCTAGGGTTTTAGTGTGAAGGTCTCCTTGTTGGAGTGGTTGAGAAAGGAGGTAAAGGAAAGCCGCCCGGAACCTATAGGGACCCAAACAAAAGCACGGGACACCTGAGCGACAATCAACACCTGGTATCAAAAAAGGGGAACCCAGAACCATGCAAACAAATTGAAAAGGCGGATATCCGCAACCTTCCGGCTGGGATCGTCCCTAACCTTCACTTACCCGGTTTTGAGCAAGTGACTCACCTGTATTTTGCAGAGCCGAGCGGCAGCACAGTGAGCACCCGCGTGGCAGTGGCCGCATTTGGCAGGTCGAAGTGGCAGGGGAAAGCGCCGCCGCCCCCCACGTTCACCTCGAGTCCACTTCGGCACCGTTCCGAAACCCTGGTTTCCTAGGTCCGATCCGGTCCATTCGCTTTGGGCAAGTGAGTTATTGACCACTCATTTGCCTCACATCCCGAGTGGATGGCCCAACAACAAGTCCAACAAGGTCCTCCAGTAGTTGAGGCTAGAATAAGGGTAGCAGCTTTTTCTGGTTTTATCTATTTTAGTAGGGGAACCCTCCCCAAAAAAAGGTAAAGGGCACTACTGGGGACCTAGTTTCTGATTCGATTCCCGTGTACATACTAGAAACAAACAATTCAGTTTTCAATCATGGTTTCAACGTGGTGCGAAATGGATTTCGTCCATCCACAGCATGACACCCTGGCTTGCTGGTGCGACAGGTAGGGAATGACCGAGACCGGGTTTTGGGAATGAACCGGTTTAGGGGATTTCCGAACAAAGGAACCATAGGATGGATGGTTTGAAGGGGTCATTCCCTCATTCCCTGCTGAAAGCCAGCAAAATAAGCCCCAAATCCAGCAAAATAACCAGTTGCTTTATCTGGAAATAGGCTAGCATAGGGTGATTCCTGTAATTGGAAAACCTGGATGGCACTAGTTGCCGGTATTTTAATGGACGCCAGAAGGAGTCACATGTTCTCATTGCTTGGCTCAAAAACCACAAGGAAACATGAAGGTCAAACAACCGGCGTGGGTCTTGGGTTTGGGAAATCAGGGTCGTCAGCCTGAGGTGACCGACCGGTTTCCTCTTTGGAGCGCTCCCGAAGTCCACTTCCAACAGCAGGACGGCTTGGCTTCTTATCTGGGCCTGGTAAGCGAAGAACCCACATTTTTCCGGGTTCAATACGAGAATCCAGGTTCTTGAAGGGTTTTTGGGAAAAACCGGGTTCTTGCATAAAAAACCTGGTTTTTTTGTCAGAATCCCCCTTTTCCAGGCGCATGCGCTTGCCAAGTACTCCTGCTGAGGTTGCATCCGGCTTGGGGGTATAAGCATGCAGGACTAGGCGCAAACACAAACATGAGGACAGCCTAAAAAACCGACGACGGCAGTTCAGTAACACAGTGCGGCCCTTTTCGGGCCGAATGAGCTCATCGAAGCGCCGGGCTCCCAAGTCCTGCACGAACACCATTCAGCGCATTTGCACAATTGCTCTCGCCGTTTGTGGAATGGTTGAAATCAGCAGCTGATTTTGACACCCAAACACGAAATGGATCCTTTAGATGATGTGGTCAAGGCTTGGGATAGTAACCCATGGCTGCGGGATCGCTTGCGGACTGGCAAGCCTTTGGTGCACGAGCTGACGGGCACCAACTGCAATGTCAAGACGTGCGTTCTCAATCGAGGTCTCCTCACCCCCTTGCTTTACGAAATGCAGAAAACCGCATCGAACAAGTCAAAGCTTGGCAAGCTACCCGAAATCGAGCGGGTGAGGGCGTCCATCAAGAAGATCTATTTTGCAAACAATGCTTCGATCGACTTGAATGAGGTGGTGATTTTGTCTTGGCACATCAGAAAACACTTGGTGCTGGTGAAGAGAAAAGCTGGCCGGGCCGAGGTTTCAAAGGACCGTTTTTCTTTCCTGCTTTCACGGCACAGGTTTGCTTCTATCGTCGCATGTTAGGACCTCAAATTTCAGAAGCTGTGCTCCATTTTGGATGAGAGCTTGGAGGACTGACTACGCTTGCCCGTAAGTACCCAAACTCCATACACATGCTTGTTGTCTAGGACGTGATCTCGGAAATCAACCTTCACAACGAGACAGCTGGCACCTCGGAGGCCTCAAAACACAAGGGGCGCCGTGTGGTTTTCGGCCACGCGTGCAAAGTAGGTGTCCCCTTTTTAGTCGAAACGGTTTGCGGGGCAACGTTTCGCCAGGGTGAAGATTCCGACGCCTACAACGATGAGAGAGAAGAGGAGGAGGGAGAACAGGATGAGGGTGATTGTGAGGTGGCCCCTGACTCCCAGAAACAGCCCTCTGCAACACAAAAAGAAGCCAGAGCTGTTGACGATGCCAAGCAACAGCCTCCCGCAAAGCCTCGAGACCTGGAGACGCGAAGCGTCTCTCCTTCCTCAGCCCTCAGCCCGATGAGCTTTAAGAGTGCTTCCACGGGTGCTTCAGCTGAACTAAGTGTAACTGGTTTGCCCTCTTCCGGCTTCTCAGGGCCTTGCAAATTCCTGACATGTTTTAGGTGCTTCCACAGCAGCATCAACGGAATCCATCAAGAGTCAGCTGGATCTTGCCCGCCAGAGATTGCAGGAGCTATTTGGTGCAATTACAACGAAGGGTTTTCAATTTGACTCCATCTTTCCCACCCTCCGCCCAGGCTCCGCCTGAAGAAGGCCAAGGACACCGAGCCTCCAGCGCCCGCTGTTCCAGCCTGCAAAGGCAGGCAGCAAAGGTTGACACGAGCTTGGCCTATCAAGTGTCTAAGCTGCCAGGCCCGGTGGACACCGCTGAGACGCAACCGGTCGATGATCGCGAAGTGGCGCAGCTGCTTAAGATGATCAGCGAGTTGCCCACGTCCCCTGAAGTTTCTGCAGACAGCAAGCGCGCCAAATTCCAGGGTGTCAGGCGTCACGGCTTGCCAGCCAAGCAGGGCCAACTCACGGCCACGCAAGCGCTGCCAGCCGCAGAACGAGCAACACCCATATGGAGAGTGTTTTCGCCAGTTGACCCAGCGGATGAGCCAGCGGCCACGCCAAAGGCGAGGCGTGCCTAATTGCAGGGTTGGCTCAGTCAGGGTCTACGTGAGTTTGAGTTTGCGCGGCAGGTTCTCACTCGCCTCGATCAGCTCTGCTTGCGGTCCACCAACGCGGACAAGAAGTCCAAGAAAAGGAGCAAGAAGACCACAAAGAAGGGCCAGGCGCGCAAGAAGGGCAACAAGGCGGACCCCGCCGAGCCACGGGCAAAGGGCAAAAAGCAGAGACGCGCGAACGACAAGGCGAAGAAAACGCGTGGAAAGAAGACACCAAGATCTCCATCCAAGCGGCGGTATGCCGTGCTGAACGCCCCGACCAAGCACGAGCAGCGTGCCCTTGACGAGCAGGCAGCGGACGATGTTGCGGGAGCGGGCAGGGCAAAGCGCTCGGCTAGGCCCAAGGCACACGTGGCGCCGAAGACCAGAAGGGCAGCTGCGCCTGCAGAAGCCCCCGCCCAGAAGCGGACCAAGCGGACCAACAAGAGGCAGAAGATGGCCAAGCCCATTGACGAGACCCCGCAGCCGGTTGCCATTACGAAGGGCAAGAAATCCAAGAGGAGCACTGAAACCAAGAAGAGCAAAGCAGAAACGCTGTCCAACATCAGCAACGATGAGGGCGAGTTCTACATCAGCGACCTGGTTGCCTGCGGCAGCGCCATGGACACGAGCATGAACGAGGAAGAGTACAAGAGTGCGGTGAAGGAGGCTTGCCAATTGCCGGAGCGGTTCTCGGTCAACATCTACTGGAGCAGGGCTGGGTGCGGGCTGAAGTTCGATGGGAAAGATCTCGTCTCCTTCTCTTTTTTGAAAGCCCCTCACATTTACCACGGGACGTGCATGGCAGTTCACTGCTGCCACATTATCGCATCTCGTGCTTCAATTTGGGATGCGTTCTTAAGGTTGTTTCCCCCGAAATGAACGCAACTCATTTTGTTCAACGCCTGACCCCTTTTCACCCGTGAACCAAGGCATACATGATGCACGAGGAGCAACTCACCCAGCCTCCCAAGGAGTATGTCTCCGCGTTGCGGGCGTGGGGATCGACCGCAGCGCAGCGCCTGATGGAGGCTGCTGACGACGCAAAAGATGTGGATTGATGAAGTGTTTGTTTTCGGAGGCGCCGCAAAGCGCGTTGGATTTTGCACATAGACCACGCCTCGGGGCTGAATCCTGGGAAGCATCAGTGCCACAATCCGCATCCGACAGTTTAGACAGCAACCTGTATAATCAGTGGCCTGATGCACGGATTCAATAGGTATGGTGGCAGTGCTTAGCTGCCCAATTGCGCTAGCGAGATTTTGAGGGAGGCAAGGCAATTGCACTCACACATATATTTCGCAGCCAGCCGAGAATCGAAAAAGGAACCGGTTCGTGCATTGGCCTAATCGGAAATTGCCACTGGTGACATTTATATCCAGAGTTCCGGGTTGCCTCACTCTCGTGCTCAGGCCCCAGCCTCCGCGATGGGCGTCTGGGGCCATGCCCCAGCAAAGGGGCAACATCTGGCAAGCGCGAGCTGGTCTGGTGAAAAAGAAATGTGGGGCTGGCAAGTTTGGCGCCCGTCACCTCCGGTTGAGATTGAGTGGGCCTTGACTGGCTGACATGTGCAAAATCATGATACGAAGATTCGCGCGCTCTCCACTGCAGCCAGTTGAGCTGCCTAACAGCCACACGCCTGTAGCCTGTGCGCAAGGGAACCATGAGGTCGTTGGACCAACTCTTGTGGGCAATGCACCTTTTGGAGCTGCCACGTGACACACGGCCAAATTAAAAGACGTTGCTTGCAAACGCTAACGTGCGAGGGAAGCTGATGGGCCCAGGAGTTCGTCTTGTGTGTGCTCCTCATTTGGTGGACGGAGAACTTGTATGACAAGGGGGAGGCCTGGAGGGGTTCTTGCCATCCCCGTGTAGATGTACTGCCATGTTCCCCCCAGCCCTGCAGGAATACGATTCCTTAGAATTCTTCAGCGGCAACTCCAACTTCACGAAAGTCATGAGAATGAGCGGGCTCAAAGCTGCTAGGTTTGATGTGCTGTACTGCTCAAAAGACAGGAAGCACAATTATATGGACATTTTGTCCAGCCCTGGCTTGGCGCTCCTAGGCTCCATTTGTTCTGCTTCTCTCCGAAACCCAAAACCATTCCAATTGATTACGGGATGAAAACAAAGTGGGTCAGAACCTTGCCACCTTCAGCCCATGAGCCTCACTCACGAGTTCAACCTCCTCGTCCCCCACCCCTCGAAACCCCCTTTTCCAAACAGTACGGGACAATCGCGATGTTTTGGGGGTCCTGTTTAAAACAGCAAGC